AAACTCTAGTTCCAGGGAATGTGACACCCCTCTTCTGACCTCTGTGGGCACCTGCATGTACATGGCACACATAATTTCATGTAGGGAAGTGTTCACATGAAAGAAAAAAAGAAAGAAAGAAAGAAAGAAAGAAAGAAAGAAAGGAAGGAAGGAAGGAAGGAAGGAAGGAAGGAAGGAAGGAAGGAAGGAAGGAAGGAAGGAGAGAGAGAAGGAGGGAAGGGGGGAGGAAGGAAGGAGGGAAACATGGGTAAGCATTTCTCAACTATTACTTGACTGTAAGGCCTGTGTTAAATCAAGCTTTCAGAGAAAAATTGAGCTAATTCTGTTTCTCTTCAAACAATCTTAAATTAATATGAAAGTTTCAAGAACAGATATTTGCCCCTGATCTGTGTGAAGATACATTATGGACCTGTTGCGCCAGATTCCCCTAAGATGTTACAATGTATTTCCTACAAAGAAAGCACCCCACGTCATCCCATTTCTGCATTAAAATCAGGAAGCTGCACATAGGCAGTGCCAGTTCATGCCACACCCCAGCTAATTCTCTCTGATGTTTTAGCAGAAGGACCAGCTCAGAACCACATGCTGCCATCAGTTTCCCCATCTCTCCAGTCTCCTTCATTGCAACAGCTCCCTTCTTGGCTAACTTCTGTGACCTTGACCCTTAGGAAAATCCAGTTCTGTTGTAATCTGATTAGATCTGGGATAGGCACTCTTGGCAGAAATGTCCCTGAGATAATGCTGTGTGTTTTTCATTTCAGACAAAACCAAAAAAAAAAAATTAATTTTATTTTTTGTGTATCTTTGATGATTTTCACTTTGCTTATTTGATTTAAAGAGGTATTGTCAGGGTTCTCACTGGAAGGTTACTTTTATTATTCCTTTTATATTAACAAAATTTTTGTTTTGGAAAGTTGCTTTGAAACTATGTAATACTTTGTGCCTCAGGAAACATTCCAGTGGTTTAATTAATTTCTATGTATACTCATGAACTCCTATGTCATTTAGTTATAATCCATTCATACACCACTCAGAATGCCTATGCAGAAGGATCACAAGTACAAGGCCAGCCTGGGCCACGTCACAAGACACTTTCTCAAATAACAACCATCGTCTATTACTACTGTTCATTTTGAAGCTCAATTTTTCAAAGCTCTGTGGGAACCCCTTCACACTGACACCTGAATCCTTTAGACCTGACTCATTGTTCTTTTAGCACTTCATTCTTTTCCAGCACAAGATGTTCCAGGTTTGCAGATTTTCGAGCTACAGCTCTAAAATCAGCCATTTCTCCAATATTACTAAAAAGACAGGGACTCAAATACAACATCTCAGTATTCTAAGTATACTCATTGCTTAGAAATCAGTGGACAGTTACCAATACATGCATGCAAATTCACACATAGACAACATTCATATATGTGTGTAAAGGGACAGAGATCAGTTTGCATCATGAATTCACATTGACAGAGTTAATTGTAATCCACAACCAGCAGTTTATTCCATCTTCCCTACCCATTTTTATTCTCTTCTTCTTTAGCGAAAAACCTGCATCCTAATATCCTTGATAGCTTTTCTTAATTGATTAATCCCCCCATATACCTGTACCCACAGAACTGTCTTCCTCATCCACCCAGTCTCCACCCCCTGTGCTGGTCTACCCTACCACTTGCTTTACCTCAATGCCTGGGCAGGGATCAGCTACTACATATCTACCTAGCCCTGTGTAGAGGCCCTTGTCACCTTGTTCAGCTCTGAATCCATATGCTGGGTTACACTTTGCAGCAGCATATGTGTCACGGTGCTGAGGCTTTAACACTCCATCCTGGGCTGCCCTTCCTCTTGGCAGCCATCTCCCTATGCCTCTGTCTCCATTCACCAGGTAAGGGTACCACCCTGCTCCTGCCTTTCAAAGGCTGAGGGAAAGGTAAAAGGGTGAAAGAGTAGGGTGGGGTGGTAAACAACTAGGAAGAAAGTTAGTTGAACTTACTCTTAACAGATGTTTATACAATTCTAATTATGATACAAACTTTGATACATCAGAAATATCCCAATTAAAGATCCCAATTAAATCTCTTCCTTTAAGCAGCTTAAACACCTTTAAAGAAAAAACAACAACAACAACAAAAAAAAAAAAACAAAAACAAAAACCGAAACTGTTAGTGCTTTCCACTGAGATAAAGACTAGCACACTGTCAGGTAAATGTAGGCACTTAAATAAGATTAATTTCAACAAATATTTATTACTGGGCAGTGTGGGCTGTAGTTGGGAGCAGAAGTGATCAAGGAAGCTAAAATGCTCATTTTAAATGACTCCACTGAAATGTTTTGAAAAACAACCCCAGTTTCCCCAGTTTGTTCCATGCAATAGTACTAATAACATTGCCGAAATATTCTCATTATGCAACATTTCCCCTTTACAGAGATATTTTATCTCATTTAACTGAGAAAACCAGGGCCCTCAAGATAGCTCAGTAGATGAAGATGCCTGATAACCTGAGTTCAATCCCTGAGTCCCACACAGTGGAAGGAGAGAACCAATTCTATGAAGCTGTCCTCTCCCATCCACACACTCAGGCATACACACATACCCACATACACATTCAAAAGTGAATAAAACATAATAAAATTATTTTTAAAAGAAAAAAAATCTTCGAAGGTATCCAAGTGAGTCCTATCATACACCTAGATTCTCACACTGTCCTCTGACAGTGTTTCTAAATTCTCATGGGCATAACCAGTTCTCTCAGAGAGCACTGTATTGAAGAAAGCAGGTCCTGGAGTCAAACTGACCAACACCAAACTTTCTGCTTGACTTCTAAACTAACAACTAACTGCGTACCCTTGGGCAGTTACTTAACTCAAACCCCAGTTTCCTCCTTTGAAAGTCAATGATACTAAAATCTAAGTCATCCAGTTACACACAGCATAGCATAGTGGCCGGTAAACAACTACTATAAAGTAAGCATAGTCACTCATACCCAGTTTATCATTGAAATTTGTCCCCAAAGTCTTAGTTCAGCAGAACACCTATCTCCAAGTAGTTCCAGGAAACCTTGTAATATTCCTTAGCAAAGAAGAAATTGAATCTCATGAAGATTAACACAGAATCTAGAAAACAAGTTGTGGTGGCCTGACTGCTTTTAATTCTATCATAAATGTAGATGCTAATGCCATATCTCTCACGTGTCCTACATTCATTTTCACCTGGGTGGAGGTCATGAGTTACACAGCATTCTCATCTTCCCTTCCCCCATGCATCACATTTATTTACACCTTCATTTGTTTCCTACCTTTTAGAAGCAAGGTATGTATATTAACTCAAGTCTGATGCCAGCAGAGTATTTGCCATGTACCCTCTAGGTCATACCATGTGATTCTTGTCCTACTTTGAATCACATGGGGACCTTTCTCAAAACTACTAATGTCCAGGCTAACTACTGTCAAATGAATCTGTGTTTTTCAGGGCAAGTCCTGGTATCAATATTTTTTAAACTCTCTGGTAATTCTGAACCATTGCTAAGTAAGAACCAAACTTCTAGGACTAGCTAGAATGTACTGCTTCTCAAAACAGTATTTGGGGCTGGGATTGTAGCTCAGTGGTAGGGCAGGTTGCCTCTATGCTAGAGGCTCTGGGTTCCATTCTCAGAACTAAGAAAGGTGGGGGGAGGGGAGGGGCAAAGGGAGAGGAAAGAGGAAGGAGGGACAAGAGAGAAAAGGGGAAGAGAGGGGGAAGGTTATTGAGGAAAGCAAGAGGAGGCGGGAAGAGAAGAGGGGGAGGGGAAGGGAGGAGACCTGAAGGGGGAGAAAAAGGGAAGGAAAAAGTGGGGGCTAGGAACATTCAGAAGTGAAAGATGAGTGAAGGGATGTGGAAGAACCAGGTACACTTAGAAGGGGGTAGGGTGTCTGGACAATTATTTGTAAGTCATAGAATGGAAAACAGATGTGGAGGAAGAAAATCTAGTCCTGGAGAAATCCAAGAGGTTCTGCCCAAGTTAGAGACCAGCTTGGTCTACACAGCTGGATCCAGGCCAGCTAGGGCTGCATAGTGAGACCCTGTCTAAAACACAAGAAAACTAGTCTTACCCTTTGATTATCTCTCCTTCCTTACAGTGTGTTAACTAATCTACATGCTTAAGTTCATGAAAATATACTCCCCAAACAGATAGAAAACCTTGTGTAAGTACAAAGAACTCGCTTTAGAAAGAAACACGGAATGATTATAACATAGAAGGTATAAACAGGTGAACTAAAATGGCAAATTTCGTCGACTTTGGCAATATTTTGTGCATAAATCCTTCAGTCACCATCCCTTAAACTGGCAATCTAACAGCCACAAACATGCCTTGTGTTTTCCAAAGACAATGGTATAAAGAAAGGTACACATATAGTCCTATATTGAGCTTGCTTTAGTTGGTTAATTGTGATTTTTGCACTCAGCTCTGAAAAAAACATCCTCAAAGCCAACACTTGCTAGGAGGAAAGGTGATAGGAGAGTCCTTGTGGCGTCTAGTTAAGAGAGTTGTCCTTGGGAAACGTGGCTTCGGAGTCAGGCCACGTTAGCAGAAGCCAAGTCCCTAGCATCCCTCCACAGGCACCCACGCACTCTACGTGCCCACTTCCTAGGGAAAAAAACCTCACCCTTTCCCAGAACCAGCGCCTGGGATCTAGCCGAGCTCTGGGAAAGACAGAATCGCCCCTTCAAGCGGCCGACCTGGAGTCCCCTGGCTCCCACGATCCCTACTTGTGTAACTCACGCCCAGCCAATGGGAGGCTTCCGCCTCCTCTCCACACCCGCCTGCACCCGCCTGCACCAGCCTGCGCCGCCTGGTCCCGCACGCCCGCATCCCCACATCCCCTCATCGCCGCGTCCCCGGGTCCCCGCGCCTCTCCCAGCCGCCCTGCCAAGGTACGGATGCCCTCCGGCTGAGAGGCCCGGCCCCTGCACCCCTTCCCAAGCGACCAGGGTCTTCCCCGCCCGGCCCCTGCACCCCAGGCACCTGTGAGATTGCCATCTGCCAGGCTCGAGCGCATCATGGACAGAAGGCACAGGAGGAGGAGCGGGTGGCCAGGCGCTCCAAGTGCCCGGAGCGCCCGCAGGCCACTGAGCGAGCTCATGCCGCGGGTGGCTGGGCCCCGGATCAGGCGGCCGCTGCGGTTCCCTTGGCTGGCTGTGATCGGTGTCTGGACTCCCTGCGTACACTCGCTAGCAGCCGAGCGCCCACTGCCAGTCCCTGGGACAGGACACGCGAGATAAGGCAGAGTGGGAGGGGCCGGGCTGCTCTGGCCTCCTCCCCCGAGACGCTGTCAGCGCACCGGAGGCCAGCCCAGCCCTGCGCCGGCCCCTCCATCCATTATGCAGCCCGCAGCTGGCTGCAGGCCGCCCGGATGTGCTGAGCCATACCCCTCCCCTCATCCTTTCTAGCCTCCTCCCTCTTACCTTTCCCAGGTTGGAGGAACAAGCTAATCACGCCCGCCAGGTGATGTCTTGCTCATCACCTCAGGGATGTGTTGAAACTCCCTTCAGACTGTTCTTAGCATCCGTAGGAGGCTAGGTTCGCTTATTTACTTTCATTGGACAGGTGATAGAAACAAGATACTTCTGCTCCTGGACATCTTTGGCTTCATTATTTCAGAGGCTTATTTTTTGCCTGATGGAAGGCTCTATCCAGTGGCCCTGAGCCCTGCGCTTACTGTTCCTTAGCTCTGCCTACCAATCATGCACTCCCTCCCCCAATCTCTGAAGGTTTAGGCTGCTCCCTCTGGATTAAAGTTTCAGAGTCCCAAGGCCCCATAGTGTGTCTGCTTTTGTTTTCCTTTTGTTTGCGAAACAGTTTTCCTGGCGCCAAAGAGCTCAAGAAACAAAATCTAGGTAAAGGGAATGGATACTGTGTAAACCGCAGAGGAACGTTTACCTTTGTCAAGAGCTGTGGAAACAATGGTATCTCTTATCCATGAAGGGCCCATGAGGGTTTAGGATTTTTTTAATGCCCCCACCAAATAAAACAAAATTAACAACGATTGTTTTGCTGGTCAGGGCAGAAGGAACCTGTTTTATAACTCAAGAACTAATGTCAGGGGCAGTCAGCAGTCTAAGGAGCCCCTTATCCTTCAGGGAACTCCACTTCCATTCCGCGGGAAGGAATTTCAGGACCATTAGGGTGAAGCATAGCTAGGGTTTATTAGAGATTTAAGTGCAAGGGTTAATACTAAGAATATGGCATGCCCAAGAGCAAATGTGCGGGTTTTAGGTTTTAAAGTCGTACCTAAATGTGTTAACTGTAAGGCCAAGTGGCACATATAATTCCAGAGATCAAGAGGCAGAGAGAGAGGCAGGTGGATCTTTGTGAGTTGGAGGCCAGCCTGGTCTGTATACCGAGTTCCAGGCTAGCCAGGCAGCCAGGGCTAAATAGTGAGACCCCATCTCAACAATGCCCCCCAAGAAAAAACATTGATTAATAGTGTGTTAGCAGTAGCCACACATACAATTTTGTGGGTTCTCAAATAACATCCACACCTGGCTGGTGGATCTCTGTGAGACTGAGGCCAACCTGGTCTACAAAGTGAGTTCCAGGCCGGCTGGGACTAGGGAGACACTGACAAAAAAATGTTATATCTCAAAGAATTGCTAAGAAACTTTTTTTTTTCTTTTATCCCTCTTTTTCAATAAATAAGATTATGGGGTAGCTCCAGAGGTTCCTTGGATGGGATGACAAGATAAAGCCGTGGGATGCAGGGGTTGTGCAAGAGGGTTAAGACATACCTTTCACTATACATGGAGTCTGATGTAAGATTCCTAGAAAATTGCAGGTTTATGCCTGGGAAAGGATAATGGCCATATACACTGAGACCTTAAGTGTTGTTCATTATTATTTTAACATTTTGGTTGATGTATATGTAAAAAAGAATATTGTCTCTAATAGGCAGCCTTCTTGACTCTTAGCTGGAGAGGCTTCAGAGAGACTCTGGGGCAGCTGGTTTCATTTCCTTCCCATGTATCCATGATTCCTCTCCTTCTACCTTGTCTCGGTAAGAATTTCTTGTATATTATGATCCATTAAAAGATTCTTGGTTTTTGTTTGTTTATTTACTTGCTTTTTTAGATATCACCTAGCTGTGCTGTTGAGGCTAGCCTCCAATCTCTGGACAAAAGCAGTTCTTCCACCTCAATTACACAGGCAAATTAAACACACACACACACACACACACACACACACACACACACATATGTATTTCTCATGAATCATGTTCTCTCTTTATTCATTAAATTATTTAAAAGTTAGGTTTAACATTTATAAATTCAAAGCAGAGCAATGTCTTAAAAAAGGAAAGAAACTTTTTGCAGAAAGAAACTGATATTCCAGATTGAATTATTAAACAAGAGAGCTATGTTTAGCCATGGTCAATTTATATGTATTTATATTTATATGTGTTTAATAGATATAATATTCATGTTCATGGGCTAACAATATATGAGAAAAACTTTGGGAATAGTGTAGTTTCTGTAGTTAGATATTGGGAGATCATGAATAAAACAATCCATTCAGCAATATTAAGTATCTAGTAAGCACCAGATTCTATGTTCAAAGGGGGCTGAGTGTAGAATAAGGAGCTCACACACACATTAGCTAACCTACGCAGTCATTGCACAGACTCTTTCTGTTATCAGAGTTGTTAGGGTCAGAGCCTGGGCCTTGGCAACCTTAACAAGCTAGGCTCAGTTACCTGCCTCCAGTAGGTCAATTAAACAGATGAAGTAGTACTGAAAGGTATAGAAAGGATATTTGTTCTATGTGGCCACATTGGGAATAACAAAGTGGTTCAATGACCCATTCAAGTTCATGTTCAGAGTCTTGACAGGAGGTGTAGTATTAAGTAGAAGGCAGGAGGGGTACATAACTAAGCAGGCCCATCAAGGGATGGTCTCCTTCATCATCAGTGCCTCAGCTGGAGTTTCTCTTGCAAGGTGGTCTGACAAGTTGTCAGAACTGAGGAAAATATCTTTCCAGGAGGCCAAAGTCCTCCTCTGGCCAGCACCAAGTTTCAGTCTATCTCCTTTCAATTTCTTTTTTTTTATTTATTTATTATTTTATTTTATGTGTTTGAGTATATTGCCTGCATGTATGTAAATGCACCCTTGTACAATGCCTGTGGAGGTCAGAAGAGGGCGTCAGATCTCCTGGAACTGGAGTTACAGACCATTGTTAGCTGCCTTGTGGGTACTGAGAACTGAACTGGGTCCTCTGCAAGAACAACCAGTGCTCTTACCACTGAGCCAGCTCTCCAGCCCCTTCTTAATTTGTTGAGAACCATTGTTTCAATGACCTGTCAGCTGAAGGAAATGACACCCGTTTTCATTCCAGCCAGGATCCTTACATTCTTAGTCAGAAAAGATACACTGGTAATAACTAAACCATTCTGAGTAAAGTCTTATGAGACCCTGAACACCTACAGCTTATACCCTGCAACCTTCCCAGGGCCCGAGCTGGGCTGACTAACTCCAAATTTCCTGCTAAATCACACCACACTGCCCTGTCTGCCAGTCCAGGGCTAACTGCAAACACTTCCCCTGCACCTGAGGTGCATTTGAACTGCAAGTCTTTTTCAGAACTGACCCATAACTGACCTTTCCCAATTAGTCTTTGCAAAATGTTTAATCTTCTTCAAATGAGCTGACCCCATTTAAAAGAAAAAGTATCCTTTCAGTGGAATCAGTGTGTTTATGAAAAGGCAAAAGACTTGCCCAACCTGAGGTTAATTCCCACAGTCCCATATTCTTGGAGCAAAGTAAGTTGAGAAAGAATAATTATTCTTGTTTTGCTAAGAATTTTGAGACTCTTTTTGCCTTTGTCACACTTTTACATTTAGATATTTCATATGTTTTTGGTCTTATCTCCATTCCACTTTCTTTGTGTGTGTGTGTATGAGTGTATTGACTGCATGTATGTGAGTGCACCCGTGTCATGCAATGCCTTGGAAGTCAGAAGAGGACTTCGGATTCCTCTGGAACTCGAGTTAAGGACGGTTTGTAGCTGCCACGTGGGTGCTGGGGATCTAACCCAGGTCCTCTGGAAGAGTAGTCAGTGCTCTTAACCACTGAGCCATCTCTCCATTCCACTTTTTTTTTAAAATGCTTTGTAGAGGCTGGAGAGATGGCTCAGTGGTTAAAAGCACTGACTGCTCTTGCAGAGGACCCGGGTTCGAGTCCCAGCACCCACATGGTGGGTAATAACCGTCAACTCCAATTCCAGGGGAATCCGAAGCCTTCTTCTGACCTCCCTGGCATTGCACAACACGGGTGCACTCACATACATGCAGGCAACACACTCGTACATATAAAAAAATCAAAAAATAAAAATAAAATACTTTGTACCTTTTAAAACCACTTTGTGAACAATTTCCCTGTATAGCTTTTCTGTCCTTTCTGTTTAGAACTGTCCTTTCCCTGAATGAGAAATTAAAGATGACACAATGCTTTAACGCTCTCTGGTGGTAGATGGGAGGATGAAGGATCCTTTTCACTTTCTTGAACTGAAGTATTGAAAATTGCCAAAGTAACAGCACAGGATCCTTCAGATTTAGGTCACAAAACTCCCACTTCCTATCTCTTAGATAGCTGCCTGACAACTGAAAATGCTGTTACTATGAAACTCAGGTTGCAGAAAACAAAACAAAACCAAAAACACCAATGGCCCTGTGCAAATAAAATCACATCAGGTTAAAAAAGAGAGAGAAAGAGAAGAAAGAAAACCAGAAATGTAAGAGTATACTATACACACAAAAGAACATTTTGTGACCTGAGAGACTTTATCAACTTGGCTGTCAAGCATTACCATGCTGTTTACGAACCAGAAAGGAGGAAGTTCACAGATGTTTCCAGTGATTGTCCTCAGAAAATGTGTATCCTTTCAGAGTGAGTGGAGCTTTATAAGCTCATTTATCTAAGCCTGATTGTTTCAACTTCGTCATACTGACAAAGAAGAAAAAGCTTAAGTGTGTTTATTTAGAGCATGCATTTCAAGGAAATTAAGATAGCCTAGTTTCTGTTATATGGCTATGATTGGTTGGCCTACGGAGTAGACCACACTGTCGCCCCCATTTTTATTATATTATAAACTCCCCTCTCCAGGTTGAACTGAGGATGTGACCAGCTTTTAAGCAATTCTCCATTACCACATGCTTTGTGGTCACTTAAGATCACAAGCAAGAATTACAATAGGCCTTTCCAAATGTTGCAATCCATGGACCTTTTGTGCTTCCACCCTCTTGTACACCATTTGTTGAGTCAATCAATGGCTCCCCCCAAACATTTAAGACTCACAAGAGACCACAATGCTCAAAGCATTTTATCACTAGAACCA